CCTAACCCTAACCCTAACCCTAACCCTAACCCTAACCCTAACCCTAACCCTAACCCTAACCCTAACCCTAACCCTAACCCTAACCCTAACCCTAACCCTATGGCGGGTATCGCTTCTCTATCCCCATCCCTATCCCTATCTCCGCACCCACCCCTCGATGGTTCCACACGGGTTATCCACCCTCTATATATACTTATACTTCCACACAGGTTATTCACCCTCTATATATATACTCACTATACTCTCTTTATATACTCACCCTATATACCCGCTTCTTCTTTAGGTTTAGCGTAGAGCTATTATATATATAACTAAGCTTTTTTTATTATCTTTATCTGCTTATAGCCGCTTAGAATCTATATATCTCTCTTAGATAGCTTTATTCACTACTCTTTCTCTTTTCTTCCTTTAAATGCTAGTATACCTGCTTACTATATTAGGTCTAGCCTTAAACTACTATAAGCAACTATACTTCTTTTACTAGGTTTCTCCGCTTAACGCCGCTTACTTTTTTTATAACCATTTTACTTAGTTTAATAAACTTACTTTCTTTTCTTTCTTCTTTAGAACTTGTTGTTCCGGACCTTTAAACCCCCCTAAAATCTTAAAAAGGCCTATTTAGGAAATTCTATTATATATCCTACCGCTTAAAATCCAAATCTTTTATAATAATACTATTTTTAGTATCACGTGACTCGGCCACATAACTTACCTATATAACTCTTTCTTAGTATATTTTAGTATATCTTCTTATAAATAAGGCTTAGCTTAAAACTATTATATATAACTATACTTATTTTACTAGGCTTATCCGCTTATCGCCGCTTAGAATCTTTATAACTATTTTAGTTTAAACTATAATCTACCCTTCTTATCTTTTTTTTATTTATCTTCTTAAAAGCTAGTATACTTTTTTACTAAGTTAGGCTTAGCTTAAAACTAATATAACAAACTACACTTTTTCTATTAGGTTTACCCGCTTAACGCCGCTTACGTTTTTTTTATTTATTTTATTTAGCTTAATAAACCCACTTTCTTCTCTTTTTTTCTTAGAACTCGTGATTCTAAACTTTTAAACCCCCCTAAAACCTTAGGGAGGCCTATTTAGGAAATTCTATTATATATGTCACCGCTTAAAATTAAAAGCTCTATAAATCTAGCTTTTTTTTAGTAGCACGTGATTTTATCACGTGTGGTCGCCTTTTTAGATTTTAGTGTCTTTTAGAATAGAGTCCCATTCTGAAACGGCAAGTTCCGTGTAGGGGTGATTTTGTATGGAAATCGGCACCCGATTCTCGAACTCATAGGTACAGTTAGTAGTATATATACTTTATATTTCTTAGCACTAATAATAGATATTAATATTAATTAATACCTTCTAGTACTATTCTTAGATATATATTTCTTATTATCTTCTCTTAATATAGTTAGTAGAATACATATCTTACTATAGCCCTTAGTACTAGTAGTTAATATTAGGATTCTATTAATATCTCTTAGTACTATCTTTAGTTATATATGTCTTATTACCTTCTTCTAATATAGATTATAGCATGCATATTTTATTAATATCTACTAGTACTATTTTTAGATATATAATTCTTATTATTTCCGCTTAATATAGTTAGTAGAGTATATATTTTATATATATTATAGTCGTAGAGTATTTTATCAATAGCTATTAGTAATAGAAAGCCTTACTAATATATTTAGATAGAGGTTTTAAGACTAAGAATTAGTATTTTAAGTTTATTAGATTAAAAAGATCTTTTTATAGTTAAAGTATCTTCTAAAATTAGTATTTTTATACTAAATATACTATTATAATCTAATTACTACCTTATATTACTAATCTATCTATAATACCCCTTAGATAGCCTATTTTTCAATAGATTTACTATTTTCTAAGCTATTTTCTAAGTAGTTTCTTTTTTCTAAATCTTAGAAATCTAGGATAGAAAATAGATTAGCTAGTAAAGATTCTAGAGTAATCTTTTACTAGCTATTAGTAATAGGAAAGCCTACTAATATATCTAGATAAATATTCTTAGACTAATAATTATTAATTTAGTAGTTTTAAAGATTAAATAGGCGTTTTCTCTAGCGGAAATACCTTCCAGAACTAGTTTATTATACTATACTTAACTTAGTAATATAGTCTGGTTAGTATCTAGAATTAGTAATCCACCTAATATACCTTTTAGATAGGCTATTTCCTAAGGGAATAAGCTATTTTCCAAGTGCTATCAATTTTCTAAAGAATAAGAATCTTAGAATTTACCCTTAGAAAATAGATTTCTAGGAACCGAATCAGATTCTAGTATATAGACTTATAGGTACTTAATTTTACTCTTAAGTTACTCGAGCGCTAAGATAATTATATATAGTATCTTAAGTAATATTATAGCTAGATTAGTTTTCAGTCTATATAATAGTAAGAAAGACTATATAAGTACTACTAAAATAGTTAACTAGTAGCTTAATATTATCTAGATTACCTTTAAAGATATATATTCATTTATTATTAGTAATATTAGGTAAAAGCTTTATAAGCTTCTACTTAGAGTAGTAGTACATATAAATCTAGCTATTAGATAACTAGAGAAGGACTTTAAGTAATATCTATCTAGTATTACTAGTAGCGTCTAAGATAGTATAGAAGAATATATTAGCTAGTAAGAATATATATAGTATTATTACAGGAACATCTAAATACATACAATCTATAGAGAACCGCTAGATGCAAGAAGAATTTAATAGAAAGAAAAGAGAAGAGAAGAGCTAGTATATAGAAACGAAGCTAGCTCTTATCGGATAGTTCTATAGTAATACTAAGGCGGGGCTCTTTATATTTTGCAGAGGTATTAGTCTAAGATACAGGTTAATAAATAATATCTAGTCCAAGTGGTGTTCTGTGTATTAAGACTAGACATTATTTATTGACCCGCGTCTCGGTCTATCCGGTCTTAGTATTATTTGCCCAAAGCTTGTAGGAGGTATTGCTGCAAGATAACCTTCTAGCGGAGCGAAGATGTGTGCGAATGTCCGTCCTCGGGCATTTTCAACCAATAACATTCGCCTTGTCCTCGACTGTAACTTTGTTTGTCTAAGCAGTAGAAACTTAGTTACAATCGATGACGCGCCCATGTGCCGCGAATGTCATTGCTTTCCATGACCTCACAGCCTATGCCACGACGAGACTTGGTGTGTCTACACTTGAGTCTGCTTGCACGTATTCTACGCTCCATTCGAACAGCTCCGGTTAATTGCACATATAATCATCACCCACAATGGATTTGCTTTCGGATCCTCTATTCTTGAATGGCTTTGCAGCTCTGAACACCATGTCGATTGCAGTTATCGGCGGCGCGGCGGTCAGCATGTACATTTTCAGCATCCCCGTTATCGAAAGCGGCCGCGAGTTCTCGTCTGCAGTCATGCTGCGTCAATTCCACTACCTCATTACCCTAGGCGCCAAATACCTGCAAAATGGCAGTCGCATCCAAGGCATATCACTCTCCACGCTTGTTTACCTCCTTTATCGTCACCCGGATCCCGATATGGCAAGCAGATGGAAGTGGTTTGCTGCTGCCTTGTTCGTCGGCGCCCAAGTTGCTTGGTACGAGGTCGTTTATGTCTTTCCGACGAATGACAGGCTGGTGGAGATGGAAGGCGAACTCAGGAAGACGGACGAACCTGATGCGGATCGGAAGGCAAGACCAGAGGTTATGAGGCTCCTGGAGAAGTGGCGACGGCGCCATATTGGACGTATCATTATTCCTTTTGCGGCTGTCACTCTTGCATTCTGCGGCCTCTTACGTTCTTAGCCGCAACATCGCAAGGCGGCTTTAATGCGCTTTAGGCGCATTATAAAGAATACGATCTCTGAGCGAGGTAGGATAAGGTGGTCGTATTGGCGCGCGCTCCAATAAACTTTGTCTCGAAAAGCTTTCTGGAATGGAACCGAACAATATGCGTCATCGTAGTCGCATCTATCAACAGCATTGAATGCAAGATTTGTCATCTAGTTAGCCCGCACAACCACCCCACGCCTCGCCTTCCAGCATACCCTCAAAACGGCAAATCTATATCCTCCGCTCTCTTCTCCATCTTCCCTCTAGCACCACCGACCGGCTTCCCAGTTGACTCCCGAATAGAACCTACCTGGAACGCAACATACTACTTCAACTATTCGGCAAAAAGTACCCGCCAGGATAATACACCACTCTGTACCCGACCCTCCTTTCCATTCCTATGTACATATGCCTCCACCAAAGCGCAGCGACGGCTCCTCGCTCACGACCGTATCCACGCCTCTAAGAAAATGACACGTCGCAGTGGTAATCTTAAACCATTCAAATCGGAACAAGCTTAGCTCGGTCCCGTGTTAAGCGGCAAGTATGGGTGCAGCAATGGAAAGTAGTGTCTCAAAAGACCTGTTAGGATGCATATAGGAATCCCCGCTGGAAATTTTGCTTTGCCGTTAGTGCAGAGCAGGCTTATGTTCTTCCAATCGTAGCGTCCCTGCTGTTCGTCAGCCGCCTCAATCGTAGCAGCTCGGAGGTGCCCCGTACTCGAACATTGGAGCTCTACTACTCAAGTGCGTGATGCGAAGAATGTTTGCGGAGCTAGGGATGCAGCGAATGATGCGAGAGGGTTCTCACTTGCAATATATTCTATAGTCTGAAAGTAAGGAGTTTGAGCGCGCTGGAGAAGTCATGAGTTTCGCGGTTGGTGTTTCTGTCAGCAATCTGTTGAACACGGCTGGAAGCAACGAGGGCACGATATCTAAGCAAGCTTCTGAGATACTATGACAAAGACGGGCCGGTCAGCGCTCGTCTGATCGATTGCTAAGCTTTGGCAGTTTTATGCAACGGTAAGCAAGTATAGGGAGATATCAGAAACAACGGCCAAGAGGAACACGTGTGTCTATACGTAGATGCCAAACCCAATCACTGTAGACAATGGGCGTATAGGCTCGGAGACAGGGCAGATTGCCGGCGATTGGATGGAGAAGAAACTATATCAAGTACATGATACACACTGGGGAATCCTCACGCGCTTCAAGCAGGATGACATATGAAGGGGGCATACAACATGCACCCTATGATGAAGAAAGGCGGCCTGCAAGGAAATGAACAGAGCCAGCTGTGAAGCATGCACCCTGGAGTCTCCGCGATTGGTTATTCTACAAAGGCGCTCAGTTTCAGCAGCATACTCTTCCGGCGCATCTTCCTGTGCCCCTCGTCTGCCGCAATGCCAGCACTTGAGATAGCTCTATCGCCAATGGGTTAACATTGAGCAATGCCTCTTGTACAGGCTCGATGGCAGTGGCTCTTTCGGGTACAAATCGGAGATGATGAAATTCTCTGTACAAGCGGCGGCGGCACCAGCAGTCCTTCCTCTTCCAGGCCAGGAAATCCGTTCACGTCTTCACGCCCACAGACACCAACTCTCAGTTCCAAGCGGCGGATCTTCCACGGGGACAGTGAGGCCGTACACCAACATCTACTATGTACTCGCAGCTTCTCGAGGCCCCAGAACTGTACAGAAATGCCTCATTTACGGGTTGGCCGCAAACGAGAGCGCGATGGTGCGTACAGAGTTGCTACTCATATTGACGGCTGGAAGACGTCAGGAAGACTGCGGGCAAGAACAAATGGCTTGCGGGTGGAGCGTACGCTCTTAAAGGAGGGCGCTACCCACCGGGCGACCTTGACGTGCAAGCATTGAACAGTTGAACAGTCGGGCCCGACTGAGACACCAAATCGCCCTCGTCCAACTAGACGAAACGCTTCCGTAGAGATATTCCATGTGAGTAGGTTTACAAACGTGGTCTCGAGAACAAGAGCTCGTGCGGTGCTGTCACATCTCCCACATGCTGCTGGAGCATTCTCTCTTGACACTCGAGGCCGGTCTCAGTTCCGATGGCGTTCCTGTAGGAAGCAAAGATCGGTCTTCTGCAGGACAATTTTCTCTCAACACCTCACGCCTGTAACCTCCTCCCGCCGCCAGCACTGCCCTCGTCCTGACTAGGAGAACCGTTGACAAATCTTCCATGTAGACAGCAACAGGATCTCACCCACATCTGCCACGTACGCGCAGCCAGAGGGTCCAAGAGTCGTAGATGGTCCGAGAGGGTAAGCAGAAGGTCGGAGGAGGCTAAGCATGCCTCCGAGGCGGGCGGGCAAGGCAGAAGAAAATCCTGGCAGCTGTGCGAGTCTTCGCATGGCGTTGGTCAAGATCCGCCAGCAACTTCATAGTTGACGTACGAATCTTGCTCCGCTTGCGGCTTGTTGCGTACGCGGTCTATGCCGCTCGCGGGTTATCAAGGGACCAGCTGGTTCTCATGGCGTATCGTGGCTTGAACTGTCTGCGTCTCCATCATAGCATGGAAGACATCAGCACGGAGGAGAGAAGCGCCGCCTGCCCCGGCCCAGCCATCCCGCGCAGATGAACTCTTGACATAGTAAGGCTAGAAGGGCCGGCGACACTCAATCCGCAGTAGGCGGCGTTGCTGCATGCGTTGCCTGACGGCGATAGGGCAGGACGAGCAGAGTTCGCAGCGTCTTGAGGTTGTTGAGCTGTACGAGAACACCGCACGTGCTGGGTTGTCAGCCCACGCCCGCAATGGATCCCAGGAGACCGTAGCTGATACCCACCACTAGAAGATTCCCAGGCAAGAACGACGGACTTCGAGTCAGTCCTTCCGTCCCCGAGGGCGTTGAGCATCTTGTCCAAGTTGGCGTCGTTCCACCAGGTGACAGGCCTCGGGCAGGACGCGGCTGGGACATGTAGCGTCAGGAACTTGCTCTGGATAGAGTACGACTTGAATATGCTACCCGACAACCTTAAAAAGACAGAGCCTAAGCGCTATCCTTTCAACTAGGACGCCCCGCATCAGGATCTTGCGCTGGATAGAGGAGCTTGCGTAAATGCGTCTTGCGTCGTCGGCGGCTTTGTTCCGACTTGGCGCTGTCGAGCGGCTTGTTTAAGGCGCCATAGAGGTCGTTTTGTTGACGTATATACGTCTCGCGTCCTCAGCGGGTTTGATTCGGTCTTCAAGGCTGCCGAGCAGCTTATCCAGATCACCATCATCCGCCCTGGAGGGATAGGCTCCAACCAGAGCGTGCAGCCTCAGGATGTTGCGCTGGATAGAGGCGCTTGCATTGACCTGAATGCGTCTTGCGTTCTCGGCGGCCTGGGTTCCATCCTCGGGGTTGTTGAGCAGCTTGTCCAGTTCAAAACGTGATTAGGGCAGTGGATGCACTCGAGAAGTGACCGGTACCCTCTCTAGTCTTGTCTCTGGCGTGGTTGGGTGTTCCGGTGTTGGTAGTCGGTAGAAGGCCTACGGAGGCGTGCGAGGGTAAGCCAAGCCGTGTTCGATAGCTTCGAGGTGCCGAATGATGGTGTCTAGACTCTTCGCAGAGTGTGGTAGTAGACCGCTGCATCGCCGCCGGCCTGAAGGGGGCCATTGAGGGCTCGGAGGACTTGGGGGAGGGTATGTATTGTCTAGATAACACCACAATCAGCTTCCGCAGCCTTAGTCAGTTGCTGTTGTTTGAGTACTCACCGGATCAATCGCCCCCTTCTATGACCTCAGGCGCCGGCGCCGACGTCAGCCAATTCATGGTGCACTTGACGTTCGATAGCCGATAGAGAATGCTGCACACAGTTCGCCCCCGGACAGAAAGGTGGGCTTGATGTAGCTGCCTGGCTGAAGGCATCTGGCTGGCAGGACCTCGGTCAGCAGCAAAGCTGAGCAAAAAACAGTCTCGCCTCTTGAAAGATGCGGAGTTTGCGTTGAGTACGAAATGTGAACTGTAAGAGTGAGGGAAAGTCATATGTAGCACTGTCGGTACAGCGCGAGCTAATCCGGTGCGTAACGATCAGGGCGCGCAGATGGATCAGATCGAACATGTTTTCAGAGATGCAGAAATCACCAATTTCGAGGTGGATGTTGGGTAGCACGTGTTTGATGTGTATTGGTGAGAGGCCAGCACCTGGTTGACGATCAGCGCGGTCCATGGGGCGCGCCAGAACTTGCTAGAGTCCATTAAATAGCAAGAAAACACGCACTCTTTAGTCAGAAGTCTGGAATTGCTCTAGGGAGGCCAGCTTCCTCCGCCAATGGGATTTCCATTCTAGCGGAGTCCCTCTGATGGAGTGGTTTTGTTTGGAAGAGAATGCTCAGAGATCAGATGTATATGCTTTGGAGACAACGCAATGGACAAGATCAGGGCAACCGGGGCCGGGCAATGACGCGCATGCAGCATAACTACGTTCACCGTCAGCAGTCCGGAGATCAGCCCTTCATTTTGATAAAGTGCAACCCTTATGCTTACCTGATACTAACTTTCCTTCAGACCGATGCTCTCTCCTGATCTAGCCTGCCCGGGTGTTCTCGACGGTGCCGGCTGATGGTTCGATATCCGGAACCAACATCAAAAGGCGAACTTGCTCTTGCAGGTATCGTCTTCTCGTCCTCTCCATCTCTGATTTTCCACTAGCTTATGTAACATGATAGCGTGACCAGCCATGTGGGACATGTTGCGTGCTTGAGGAGCTAGGAAGAATCATCCAGTGTTGTCAATCAGCAACGCTGCTGTAAATGCCATGTTTGCATTGCAGATTTTACGGCAAGGAAGAATTGCCAAGCTGGAACATTGTAATTTTCTGAATACCAAGCTCCCTCATCTATGACTTACGGACTGCTGCTGTTCAGATTTCCACCTAGCTACTGTCCACCATGACCTTCACTGCAGCTCTTGCGGACATTCTGTTGTGCTCTCTGTATCTACCTCCCAGGTTGTAAGCTCGGCCCTGC